AACACCAGTACTGAGAAACCAATAGATGAATATTTTCATCTTCTAGAAATCCTTCCAGGATCTTTTATCATCTAAAAGTTCTACAAAAAGAAATTCTCATGCAAAATAACTTCAAAGAGAAAAATCTGACAAAATTAGCTTTCATCAAAAATTCTTGGTTTTATCAAGGAATTGGAATTTCTCACTTACTATAAGTGATAGTATCTTTGCATGTCCCTCCCCTTACTCTGCCATATCTTTTTTATAATTGAATCTGCTTATTGTCTTTCCCCTTGCACTTTCCTAGATGAGAGCTGATTTTATGTTGAAACTGCCATTCTGAGCAGATCGATTGCTCATTTGATTGGATATTGTTTTAAAGTACCCTCCCCATTTCTGCTGTTTGCAGCATTTACTATAAATGCATCAGCCTAATTAATGAAGTAATCTTTGATTCACAAAAGCTTACAGTAAAATAAATTTTGTTAGCCTTCAAGGTGCCACTGTATTCCTATGGGTTTTTTTCCCAACACCTATCCAAGTCACATGACACTGTCTGATAGGAAACTTCACGGATCCATTAAAAACAAACATTTCGTTACAGCTGAAAATATTGTTAGGAATGCTGCCAAAATTTCAAGTGCCATCATGTTGACTTCAAAGTCTGCTTTGATTTTTCCCGTGTGGAAACTGAACTGGTGTGTAACTCAGTGGGCTGTTACTTACATGTTCATGATCTGTGGCTGTTCCCATTACATCCCTATACTTGTTCTCTATAAATACTCTGGCCTGTATCCAGATGATAGGGTTAGATCCAAAATCAAATAATCAAAAAGGTCAAGTAAACAAACCTCAAAATATATTTATTCTGCAAGTGGAATGACAACTTTGAATCCAACCCTGTGTGAGACATAGGGCAATAGGGCCAATCTACAAGTTACAATTTCAATATCTACATCCCCAAGTCAGGTAACAGATGTGCTATGGGAGTGCCATGCTTCCTAGGTATGCAGGGTCTTGATTGGGACCATGTGGAAAGGAGGGCTTAGGCTCCCATGTACCAGGGGACTGCTAATTGATCTATTGGGGAATTTAACATGTTGCTCTATCAGTACTCAAGCAGTCTCCAATGGGACAAATAGTGACTTCCTCGGTACATTTCAGGTCAGGTCTACACTCCCCATTCACCACGGTCCCAATCTGAATCAGAATCCCATGCACCTGAGAAGGGTGGAGATCCCATAACATACCTGTGATCTGATTTAGTGTCATAATCAGAGAAAGCATAATAGGTAGTTCAGTCCTCTGGGTGTGGTAGCTATAACACTGGATTTAAGACAGGGTGACCTGGGATTAAATCCTCATTCAGTCATGGAGTTTACTGGGCAACCTTGAGCCAGTCACATATTCAGCCTTACCCACCTACTTTACAGGATTGTTTTAGAGAACACAAATAATAACATACAAATGTCATCAAGGACTCCCTGGATGAAAGGTAATGCAACATGATAATAGGTTGCCTTCAAAACCCATTCACACATCTTCTTCCGCAATTCTAACTGTTGACAGGTTTCTTTTTTTAAGATTATGGAAAATGTATAGCCAAGCAACCAACCAACCAGAACAAGAATAAATTAGGAAATATCTGCATAGTTAATTCCAGTAGTGCAATTTAGAACTTCTAAGGGTTGAAAATACTGTTGGAATCTAGGCCATATCTTTGCATAGAATTTCACTTCAGCCCCTCCTGCTATACAGTTACCAGAGCTGGATTCACCTTACAATGCAAGATATAATTTAGGATCTAAGATTATTTGGTGGGGGCTCCAAATACCACCAAAAAAGAAAGAAAGAAAGATTACCCAAAGTACTAAATTAAACCTGACATTGTTAGGGCTTTTACATGTCCTAATCTGGCACTGACAGACATGCTTGTTACCAGCAATAAAAAATGGGAGATAAAATTTACATGAACCATGCCCAAAAGGTTATGCTATAGTTTAGATAAGGAATCTACTAACAGTGACTACATCACTTGGATATTAGGATGTTTAGATATGAAATGCAAACTACAAATTAACTATTTACTACAAGTGAATGGTTTACTGTCAATCAAAGCTTGCTCAGGGTTTGTTTGGATCCATATTTAAATGATCATAGTAATCAGAGAGGGAGCTGTGGTGGCTCAAGTGGTTAAGACGCTGAACTGCAGGCTGTGGAAGGTCAGTAGTTCAGCAGTTCAAGACCCGGGTTGCCGCATGACGGAGTGAGCTCCCGTCTCTAGTTCCAGCTCCTGCCAACCTAGCAGTTCGAAAGCAAGAAATTGCAAGTAGATAAATAGGTACCACTTCGGTGGGAAGGTAACAGCATTCCGTGCGCCTTGGTGTTTAGTCATGCCGGCCACATGACCACGGAAACGTCTTCTGACAGCGCTGGCTCTTCGGCTTTGAAACGGAGATGAGCACCGAAACCCTAGAGTCGGACTCGACTGGCTTTCGAGCAAGGGAACCTTTACCTTTACCTTTACTTTAGTAATCAGAGATTAAATGGTGATAGAGGCATCAGCCTTGACTGGAGACAAAAATATGGGGCATCTTATTATTTATTTATGAAATTTATAACCCACTTTTCTTCCCTCACAAGGGCCACCAAGATATTTAAAATTTAAAACATGCAGGATAAAATAACATTTTAAAACCATTACAATTAAAAAATCCAAACACACATCATTAAAACAAATTAAAAACAGAGTAAAATATGTACAAAAGACCTAAATGTACACTTTACTAATGATCATATTAATAAAAGAGGCCCAGTTTGCATCTCATGATGAAAGGAAATTTGAGCTATGGACTTGGCTGTTTACTGGGAGAAACCTGGTACTCTTACTCTATCTCTGAAAATAATTCCCCCATCTTTCTTCTCAACCAATATGTTATTTGCTTCTTTCTGGAAGTCCCCATTAGAAGCACTCCTCTATCATTTCAGATGGCCATCCATTTTCTTTCACTGTATTTGGTTATTTTATATTTATGCATCTGTCTCCTTGCCTCTCCAGAGTTTGACCATTCCAGCATAAGTTTGCCAGATCCTGGCCTCTTCCTTAATGGAAACTTAATGAGTTGGCTCAGGGGGGGGAAAGCTCATCCAGGCTGATTTCATTTAATCTTCTATACTATAATCTGTATGGATTATGTCTCCTTTGGCTCTCCAGTTTTACAATTATTACACAGACTATTAATTAAACATTTTATAGATATATAACTTTTTCATAGAGACTGAGAAAGCAATACTGTAGACAAAGCAAATCCTCTATCAGCTTAAATAGACTAAAATAGAATGTAAATATGGAACCAGGACCTAGCTGCCAAATTTCACAATGTGTCTCTTCCTCACGGACTTTACCCCCCAAAATCTGGGTTGTGTAGTTTGTAGTTTTGCTGTTAGCTTCTTGCTGAGAGCTGGCATGAAAAATATAATGGCTCCTTCTCTTCCTTTTCCCGTCTTTTCCCAGCAGGGTCCAGTGGCTTGTGGCAAGATTCCAAAGAAGCTCATGATTAATGTATAAATATGTAATGGGGGGGGGAATACCACATCTTTTCCCTCAAGGTTTTGAAAGCTTCAACCCAATACACTGCTGAGAGTAACTGAGTGAGCTTCCTGTCTTGTGTTTCTTTTCATACATTCAGGTCTCTACCCATGTCTCTCATAAATTTGCCTTGATCTACCTGTCACACAACCTCCACAATAGCAGCCAATATGAAGAGCAAGGTGGATCCTGTTATGTATTGACTTGAATGTAAATACTGACATGCGAATCGCCTCATTGAAACTTAATGTTAAGCTTCAGCCTGGGCTAGGATCCTAATGTAACCAATAGGAGTCCTAGCCCAGGGAGTGTCTACCAATCACGTTACAAAGCGGGACCGCTTGTGATTGGGCATTGTATCTTCAATCTCATAGGTTGTTATCTGTACAGGGGGTGTGGCTACATTAGCCGGGAGTGTTTAAATATAGACAAGCCAGTGTATGTTCTGTTCTGTGATGGGTTCTGGCTGGCGATTGTTGTACCGCAACGGAGAAGTAACTGAGCTGAAGAATAAACCGCAATTCTTACTGAATCACTCTCCGACTCTTTGTTAAGCGCACGACTTAACAATTGGCGACGAGGATGGGATCCTAGTGCGGGTAGGCAGCCCCGCTAGACCGGACCCCATGTCGGACAACGAGGAGATCGCCGAGGCCGGCCAGCCACAGGCTCCACCCGCTCTGGTGGCTCCGCCTGTGCGCATAACGATGGCCGCGAGCAGCCAGAAGTTCGAATGCTTCGACCCAACTACTGAAGACTGGGACTCCTACCTCACAAGGTTTGAGTTCCATCTGGAGGCGAATGACATCACGACGGAGGAGAAGAAGAGGGCGACTCTACTCAGCTCGTGTGGAAAGAGCGTTTTTGACATCGCCCGGTCACTGGTGGCACCAGATGACCTCAAATCCGTATCCTTTAAAAATGTGACAGACAAGCTGAAATCACATTTTTCTCCACAGCCGTCGGAAATCGCCTGCAGGCACGCTTTTTACAAGCGGGGTCAGAATGCGAACGAGTCCATAGCTGAGTACGTTGCAGCTCTTCGCAAGGCAGCGCGGCCTTGCAACTTCACGAATGTGGAGGAGGCCCTCCGAGATCGCCTCGTCTGTGGTCTGAGAGACGAGAGACTGCAGCAACGCCTGTTCGCAAGAACTACCTTAACGTGGGCCATCGCCTATGCCGAGGCTGTCGCCGCGGAAGCTGCTGACAGATCAACCAGGGAGGTGAGACAACGGGTCGCAACGGCTGATCAACGCGTCCACCAGCAGAGGGCTAGCGACGCAAGCAGCGACTCTGATGACGACGTCTGCGTGGTAAAGGCGGGAGCGTCCAAGCGGACCCAACAGAAACCTTCCGAGGGCTCAGCATGCGTCGGCTGTGGCGGGAAACATCGGCGCGAGCGTTGCTGGGCAAGAGACCTCGACTGCCGGTCATGCGGGAAGCGGGGGCATGTTGCCCGGGTGTGCAGAGCAGCGAACAAGTCGTCACCCGCATCATCGCCCCGACGGCACCAACGTCCCCGAGCCGCACCGAAAGACGACAGCCGACAGATGACAGGAAGCCTGTCATCGGAAGCCACCATTTTCAGCACAAACAGCAGACAGAAGATCCACGTCACTCTCTGCCTCGACGGCGCGCCGTGCGAGATGGAGGTGGATTCCGGGTCGGCGGTAACCGTTTTGTCGACGCAGACGTGGCACAAGCTGTTTCCAACGCGGAGTCGGCGGAGGTTGCAAGCTGCGGACACCCGCTTGTCCGATTTCCAGGGAAATCGAATTCCTCTGGCAGGGAGGGATTCGTTCACAGTGGAGTTCAAGGGAAAAAGTGCTGTGTTGTCATGTTTAATAGCTGAGGGGAACCGAACCAACCTGCTCGGGTTGGACTGGTTTGACCCTCTGGGTATTGCTGTTGTGGGAGTTAATACTGTTGTGGAAAATAAATGGGCTGTATTATATTCTGAATTTCCTGAAGTGTTTGGGGGTGGTTTGGGAAGGTATAACGGTCCCCCAGTGTCTTTTGACTTGGATCCTGGTGTTAGGCCTATCCGCCTTAAATACAGGAAGGTGCCCATTCCGTTCAAGGCAAAAATCGAGGCCGAACTCGATAAGTTGGTTGAGCAAGGGGTATTGGAACCAGTGCCTTTTGGCAAATGGGAAACTCCCATAGTAACTCCTATTAAACCTGACGGGTCAATTCGGATATGCGCTGATTACAAGTGCACCATTAACAAAGCCTTGCAGCAGCATTCGTACCCTGTCCCGGTCATCAGCCACGTTTTGGCGTCACTGGGAGGGGGCAAGATATTCGCCAAACTCGACCTAGCCCAGGCATATCAACAACTCCCAGTAACAAAGGAGGCGGCTGAAGCTCAAACTATAGTAACGCACAGAGGGGCGTTCAGAGTGAACCGACTCCAATTCGGAGTGAATGTCGCACCGGGGATTTTCCAAAGTCTCATGGAGGGGTTACTGAGGGGGGTGCCTGGCACGGTGCCGTATTTTGATGATGTGCTAATAGCGGGCAAATCCGAAGATGAATTGTTGCACCGAGTTAGGGAGGTGCTCAAGCGTTTTTCCGATGCGGGGCTTAAGGTAAAAAAGTCCAAATGCCTGGTGGGGGTCCATAGTGTTGAATTCTTGGGATTCCGGGTGGATGAGTTCGGGGTCCACCCCACAAACGATAAGGTATCCGCAATACAGCATGCACCACGGCCACAGGGGAACAAGGAGCTCCAGTCCTTCTTAGGACTCCTTAATTTTTACCACGCCTTTTTGCCCCATAAGGCGTCAGTGGCTGCCCCATTGCATAACCTCCTGCACAAGGACTCCAAGTGGAAGTGGGGCCCCGAGCATGAGCGAGCGTTTAAGGGGGTGAAAGAATTACTGTCATCAGATGCTGTGCTGACTCATTATGATGAGAACAAGCTACTGGTGTTGGCTGCTGATGCGTCCCCATATGGGGTGGGGGCGGTTCTGAGCCATGTTATGCCGGACGGACGGGAGGCCCCCGTAGCGTTCTATTCCAGGTCGTTGACAGCAGCAGAGAAAAACTACGCGCAGATTGATAAAGAGGCTTTGGCGCTTGTTTCTGCTGTTAAAAAGTTTAATGACTTTCTGTTTGGAAGGCGTTTCATTTTGGTAACGGACCACAAGCCCTTGCTAGGGATCTTTGCCCAGGACCGGCAACTCCCTGATGTTATGTCCGCTCGCATGTTGCGGTGGGCATTGTTCCTCTCAGCATATGAGTTCGACTTGGAACACCGGCCGGGTAAGGCAATTGGACACGCTGATGCGCTCAGCCGCTGCCCTCTGCCCGGCCAGGACTTGGACCCTGCTCCTGCTTGCTCAGTTCTGGCTATTGAGGAACTGCCGGAGGCACCCGTGTCAGTGAAGGACATTGCTGCTGCGACAGCAAGAGACTCTGTGCTCAGTCGTGTTCTAAACTGGGTGTGGAGGGGGTGGCCGGCAGGGACTTTAGAGCCGGAATTCAAACCGTATAAAATGCGGGAAAACGAGATGTCCGTATCCAAGGGCTGTCTACTGTGGGGAAACCGGGTGGTTGTGCCTCATCGCTGGCGCGAAAAAGTGCTGAAATCACTTCATGAGGGCCATCCCGGTATGGTACATATGAAAGCTCTGGCCCGGGGATATGTGTGGTGGCCCGGGTTGGACGCTGACATTGAGGAGTGGGTTCGGGGGTGCACGCCATGCCAGCAGGCGAGGGCCGACCCACCAACCGCCTATCCGCAAAAGTGGGAATCGGCGGGAAAGCCTTGGTCAAGGCTACACATCGACCTGGCGGGCCCGGTACAAGGGCAAATGTTCTTAATTGTTGTGGACTCATTTTCAAAATGGTTGGAAGTGGCGCCAATGTCTACCACCACTTCCACTGCTGTAATTAATGTGTTGCGCCGTCTTTTTGCCACACATGGGTTGCCTGATGTTTTAGTGAGCGATAACGGCGCTCAATTTGTTTCTGCCGAATTTGTACAGTTCCTAACTAACAATGGGATACGCCAAATGACTTCTGCCCCGTTCCACCCTGCCTCTAACGGCCAGGCAGAAAGAATGGTCCGCACGACCAAAGATGCGCTTGCAAAGCTGACATCCGGGGACTGGGGAGTGAAACTGGCGTCGTTTCTCCTGCGCCAGCACGTAACTCCATGTTCGGCTACGGGCCGCAGCCCAGCCGAGTTGTTAATGGGGCGACGCCTAGCGTCGTTGCTGGATCGCTTGCATCCTGACCTCAACGACTTGAGGCCCCAGCAGCAGAGTGTTCCCTCAAAGGTCCGCACTTACGAATGTGGGGACACGGTCTTTGCGAAGAACTATGCCGGGGGACATTCGTGGCTTCCAGCCACAATTACTGAGGTAGTGGGCTCCCGCATGTACGTTGTCCAGGTTGCGGACGGGCGCAAGTGGAGGCGACACACTGACCAGTTAAGGCAGCGGTGGGCAACTGGCCGCCCCAGCTCGCAGCCGTCTGAGTTTTCCGACCCCGAGGACCATCCCATACCTCTGCCAGAGGTGAGTACTGCCGAGCCTGCCGAGCCCAGTACTGTCCCTGAGGGAGGGCAGACCCCTACTCTTGGACCCACTGCAAGGGATGAAAGCGTACCTGACCCACTCGAGAGTGAGTCAAGCAGTGTGCCTCCAATTCAGAAGTGCCCTGAACCTCCTCTGCCGCGGAGGTCTCAGAGAGTGCGCAGAGTGCCCACCTACCTAAGCGATTATGATTGTACATAGTGTTTTTGCTTAGGGGGGAGGGATTTGTTATGTATTGACTTGAATGTAAATACTGACATGCGAATCGCCTCATTGAAACTTAATGTTAAGCTTCAGCCTGGGCTAGGATCCTAATGTAACCAATAGGAGTCCTAGCCCAGGGAGTGTCTACCAATCACGTTACAAAGCGGGACCGCTTGTGATTGGGCATTGTATCTTCAATCTCATAGGTTGTTATCTGTACAGGGGGTGTGGCTACATTAGCCGGGAGTGTTTAAATATAGACAAGCCAGTGTATGTTCTGTTCTGTGATGGGTTCTGGCTGGCGATTGTTGTACCGCAATGGAGAAGTAACTGAGCTGAAGAATAAACCGCAATTCTTGCTGAATCACTCTCCGACTCTTTGTTAAGCGCACGACTTAACAGATCCAATACTGGGCAAGCAACATAGCTTTGAACACTGACTGGCTGTATGAAAGTCAGACTTTCATAGTTCTTTGTAACATGCAAGTAGATAGCATGAACTGGAGCTGGCAACCAACAGGCCAGCTTCTAAGATCTCTGATGATTGATTAATGTCTCACATCCTCAGCTTTTCTCCAAGGAGCTGAGAGTAGCATGCAGAGGCTTATTTCACTGTATCCTCATAGCAGCCCTTTGAAGTGACTTGCTCCGGACTATAACTAAGGACCTCCACATCAAGATGTCTTCTGGGTACTCCTCAAAACATATTTACAGTAAGCAGAGTTACTGAGTTGATTAAAATGTATGCACTTAAATAGGTAGAACTCTGTTTAGGATTGTATTTTGAGACTCTTCCCATTCAGATGAATACTAGGAATTTACTAGATTTCATAAACACAGTTGCATTTTGATCATTCAAGTCCATTGACAGGTCGGGGGTAGGGAGGGGGTAGGAAGGAGCCCACTGATATCCAAGCCAAGATGGGGAGCTTGGATTGCTTGTTGCTAAATGAAAGTTTATACATAGTGGGTGTTTCGAAACATGGTGGGGTGGGACAAATCAACAGGATACAATAATCTCTGGCTATAAGTTCTATAGAAAGGACAGAAAGAGGTGTGTTTGTGGAGGTATCATTATAGAAAACATTAGGGGAATGAACTCTCTGACAGAATCATTATGGGTATAGATACTAGGCTCTAAAGGTTATTTAAAAGTAGGAGTGTACATTTGCCCACCTGATCAAACCCTTAAGGCTGATCTTGAGACAAAGAATGAAATAAGGGAGGTAACTAAAGCAGATAAGGTTGTAATGCTGGATGACTTCAACTACTTTGCTACTGACTGAGTAAACATATGCTTGAATCATTCTATAGAAATGAGGTTTCTAAACGTCTGGTTATGACCTTTAAAGCCTTTCATGACCACATATTTGGCCAGGGATCCTGGAGGATTGTTGTTGGGTTTTTTGCCCTCTTCTGGGCATAGAGCAGAGGTCACTGGAGGTGGGGGGAGGTATTTGTGAATTCCCTGCAATGTGTAGGGGGTTGGACTAGATGACCCTGGAGATCCCTTCCAATGCTAAGATTCTATAGTTCTATGATATTTGAAGGACCATCTCCTTCCATATGTCCCTGTGTTTGTGAAGGGCTTTCAAGTTTATGGTTACACCAATTGGAAGAGACCACAGTGCTATTAAGTTAAGCATTCTTATCAACAGAAAGTTGCCCCTAAAGTCTAAAACAGTAACAATTGGTTTCCAAAGATGGAATTTTATTATTATTATTAACAAAAATGATGGGAATAGCTAGAAGGAAGCTGAAGGGGAAAATGCCAAGGCAGTCAAATTGCTAGAGGATGCTTGGAAGCTGTTTAAAACAATACCAATTGAAGCCCAGATAGAATGAATCCCCCAGGTTAGGTTATCTACTGCCAAATCTAAAAGGATTCCTTCATCCCCAAGTCACAACTGCCCCAATGAAGTGACCACAAGGCAGCACAGGGTCTGGCAAAAGCACCTGTAAGTTAATAACTAAGCAATTAATAAATAAGCAAGAAGAGAATTTGGGGAGCAGAATGCAACAATGTAGCAAATGACATTCAGTGTTGTTAAGTGTAAGGGGGATGCACACTGGAACAAAAAAAATCTCAGATCTGAACATGTGGGACTGAGAAGAAAAGGGTCTTTGGGGATAGCTCAATGGAAGCATCAATCCAGTGTGCTGCAGCAGTGGAAATGCAAACTTTATGCTGAGAATTATTAGAAAAGGGACTGAAAATAAAATAGCCAATGTTGTAATGCCCTTGTATAGATGTATGGTGTGACCTCATTTGGAATACTGTGTGTAGTTCTGGTCACCATCTCTCAAAAAGAACATTGCAGTGCTGGGAGAAATACAGAAAGGGCAGCCAAGAATGTTAATGGGTTGGAGTACCTTCCATATGTGGAATCTGGAATTTTCAGTTTGGAAAAGAGATGATGTGCAGGGAGAGACATGGTAGAGATTTATAAAATCATGCAAATTGTAGAGCGAGTGGACACACAAAAAAAAAATTCTCCCTTACAAAATACTAGAGCTTGGGGACATCCAATGAAGTTGGTGGGCTGTAGGTTCAGGGTGGACAAAGGAAATACTTCTTTGCTCAACAATGGATTAAAAGATAGACTTCACTGCCAGAGGACGTGTTATATGGATTGCCTGGATCTGATTATAAACGTGCAGGGCAGTACACATGTACAAGGGTTCTTTATACTCTATGTACACGAGGGTCAAATTGCGAGAGATACCAGTGGAAGGACGAGACCTATTGATTGAATAAATGGAGTTTTATTGTAACTAAATAAAAAGCTTAAACTATTAACTCATGCAAAAATAATAACAATAGATCAACACACACAAAGCTAAGAAACAGAGAGGTGATCGATAGTGACAAGAAGGTGCTTGGTTTTAGATTAGGGTAATATTCACCTGATACTCAAGTCTGGAATCCACATGGCAGAAGGAGGACATGGCCAACCAGCAGTTCACGTCAAAGTTTCGGACAGAGTCTGAGGGTACACTCTTATGGCCGCCCAAGAACTGTACAAAGGTTGAGGTGTGGAGTACCAGTTTAAATATTTTGGGGGGAGCCAGGGCCCACGGTGTAATGAGTAGCCAGATTAAGCTGGGTACATGCGGGATGCTTGGTTTAAACTTCTGAGGTTGGGGAAGTCGCCAGTGTTTGTGGTTGTGTGTATCAGTGGCTGGATATTCAGTGTGGAAGGGTGCTAGACCCTCAAAATTACTTTGAAGGAGACAGTGCAATTTACCCAGGCGATGGCATTAGGGATTAATATGGTAAGGATGGCAATCTTTGTTGATTGTACCGGTCATGGGATCCTGTGTACATGCTTGCTCTCAACACTCCTATTTGGCTTGGTTTCTCCTGGGCCTGTTAGGCTGGTTCAAAAATGGAGTCTTTTCTGTCTCCATATTGCCTGCCTGTGCCAGACCAATGTGAGGTGTTTGACCCTGGTCTTACTGCCATTCTGGCTGCTGCATCCCTCCAAGGCTTTTGGGGAGAGTGAGTTTAACACAGGTATATCGGGAGAGGTAACCGATGTAGTGATGGCCACAGGCTTAGATTTCTTTATTAGACAGATTAATGGAGGATAGGTCATTCAGTATTTACTAGACACATTCAGAGCCAGTAAACCTCTGAATACCAGTGTCAGGAGGCACTGTCAGGGAAGTCCTTGGCCTCTATGCCCTTTTATCAGCCCTCCAGTGTAACTAGTTGGCCACTGTGTGAGATACAATGCTGGACTAGATGAATCACTAATCTGAACCAAGAGGGCTTTTCTTATGTTCTTAATTACCTCACTACTTTAGGCCCACTATGGTGACATAGCCTTCTAGAATTTTGTACCCCTAGGCATCCCCCAGCTAAGCAGCCCTGCCCAAGACTTTATATCAAGCTTTATGGCCAAGTAGAGAGGGATGTTACAGCTGCTGAGTTGATGTAAAGTGCTGCCAGAGTCATTCATGTGACCGTGTCTGGCTTGCATAAACACATCAAAATGTCTTCTTTCCATTTTCCTGAGCTCTTTATGTGCAGAGGCAAAACTTCTATAATACAGATTCAGTTTCTTGGTTGCATTCTGATTATTTTGTTTGTTTGGTTTTCGCATTCTTATTTTCTTCACCAATGTATAGTCCACTATAGATATGTCATAGCTTTCACTATTCTTGATTGTATACTCTAGAAAAGTCAGGATTCTCCTCTCTTTAACAATTAATATAAACAATTTTTAATTAATAACCTGATCCAGGAAACCTGAAATACTTGGATTTAAGCTGATTTAGTTTTGCTGACTTAAATCAGATTAAATTGGTTTGAACATGAGTGCTTTGATTTAATTTAGTTATGACTCAAACTGTAAATTAGAACAAACACAGAGCACTTTAAGGTCCACTGAATAACTTACGCAAATAAAGCAAAAGCAACAGAACAAAAAAAAAATCAATCTGGAGAAAGAAGTACCAGCTATTTACCGCTAATGGTCTCAGCACACTTGATATAAGCAACCACCAGGACAGTTTTCCAGGTGAAACATTACACATGTGTAAGAAGGCCTATGTAAAAGAACAGAAAGTATAAACTTTTCCTCTGCCATAAATCATAGCATGTGATTTAAAAAAACCCAAGAACTTCAGAACAGGGGAAATTACTGCTTGTGCAAAGTG